CGTGCGATAAGAGTTTTATCGAAAAGCTGGTTGGACAAAGCCGCGCCGCCAGGACGATACAATCGTCCAACGAAAGCGCCGAGAGAACGAAAGCCAGCAGCGATGACATCGCGAATGAGATAAGACGCTGCGGACGAAATTCGGCTGGGCCGAAACAAACGACCGACGCGTGCAGTGCAGCTTTCTCCCGTGGCGAGCACGAGAGGAGAAAGAAGGGGGTCGGACAGGTCCGAGGTGGGCCTCGCGATCCGAGTCCAGGAAGCGGGCCGCTCGGGTCGTCGTCCTCGTCTCTGCGGCTGCACCGGCGCGATACATAATCCCCACGCGCGCGGACCGATTATTTTGAGAGAAAGGGCGCTTTCTAGGAGAGCTGCGTGGGTCTGCCAAGATTACACGAGCGAACGTTCCCGAGATCCGCCGTCGTGGGTGTACGTATCTATTTATCGAGCAGCGGAGAGTCTTCCTGTGCGAATGCGCTTGATTTATGTATCGAGCTGCGTATCGTGCGCGTCGACGTAATTATTTTTCGATCGCTCGCAGCACGCGATGCCATTTGTTATGGCGCGGAGCGGAGAGAAGGCAACGCCGATGCGCGTATACCTGGTTCGCGTATCGCGAAGGCTTCGTCAAGGAAAGAGAGCAACAACAACTTGCCCGACATTTCTCACGTGAATCCGGAGCTGTCCATGCCACTATTGACGTTTCCTTTCTGTGTACACACACGATGAATCATCGATTTGCTCGTTCGTTACATTCGCCTTTTTTCACCTAATATACTTGATCAATCGAGAATGAAATCATTGTAATATTAGTTCAATTACAATACGTCATTTTATATATGTAACGACTCTTTCAAACAAATACTTAACCGATTGTATTTTTCATTTTATACGGGATTTTGCATTGTTCAAACTAGCTTATCGCGACACGAAATACATGATTAGTCTCCTTTAGAAAACTACTCGGTAAGTCCCATTTGTATGTCAATCAATATCTACGTTGAAGTCTTACAATTTTGTAACTGCTACTGTCGAGCAGTGCAGGTTTTTCACAATTCCACCTCCAAAACAAACAAATCCAGTTTTATTCCAACTCGCACGCGTCTTCAAACTCTACTCCATCACTCTCGAGCAAACATCGTGGCAATGTATAAATTTATTGAACACACAGACACGCTTTAGCGACCGAAAAAAGAAACAAAAAAAAAAAGAGAGAGAGAGAGAACCGGCACGTGTAATAGCCTTCCCCCCTCGGAAGGAACGGAAAAAAAGAGAAAAGAAACGGCAACAATCGCGTTACCCCCTTCTTCGAAGAGCACGGGGCGTTCGCTTGATTTTTGGGCTCAGCACGTGCGGTGGGCAACAACTTTGGCCGGGCGGACCGCACATCTGTCGAGCGTGGAATTTCCCCGGGTGTGTACAAGTGCGCGTGCACGCGCTCGCTTAGCCCTTGCTACGTGGTTGCCGGCCTACTGGGTAGGTGGGGGAGATTACCCGTCGCGCGAAATGACCGTTTCCAGCAACGACTCCCTCTCTCTCTCTCATTTTTCGTTGAACCAGCTGCGTACCTCGGCGTTGCATATGCGGCTGAAGTAATAATTTCGACGTTTGCGTTGACAAGAAATTGACTCGATCGCGGGCGCTAACGCGGCCGCCGGGAGCGAGCAGGAGGAGCGAGGCGGCGTCAAGATTCACGCGCAGCGGCTGAAAAACGACGCACGTCCATTTGGAGGATCGAGAAAGAGATGTACGTGCTCGCTGGGAGATGACGAAACCCTATACTCGCCACGGCATCCAAGCGAGGATGTGGCAGTTGCGCGAATTGCACGATAAACGCTCGTTTAATCGGCGATCGATAAGGAGAGAGCGAGCGAGCGGCCGCCGCCGGGAGAGATCCGCTCTTATCGCAGGCGACGGGCGCTCCCATGCGAGCTCGCGCGCGGCTCTCGTTTCTTTTGCGACTAATGGCTGCGCGCAGTCTTGCTAATTGAATCCTATTTTCCGATTGGCGCCGCGAAGTATACACGCGCGCGCGCGCGTACTTTTCAACGTTCGACGCGGCAAATTCTCGCGCTCGCGATCGTTACACTGGTTCTATCGACCCGCGGCGAACGCACGCTTCGTTATAACAAGAAGAAAAATGTTGGCATTACGTTCACAGGCGCGAATAGAATGCGAAGCCTGAATTTCGCCATGTCGCGATTGTTCGGCTAAATTTTCCCGTGGGTTGCTCAACTTTAGATATTCAATGGATATTCATCGGACGCTCTCGCGTCTCGGGGTATCTTAAAATCTGGAGCTCGGCGAGCGAAACGTCGTGGTCGCGCGTCAGGTCCATCGGATCGAGGCCACGACTAAGATAGCAAGAGGAAAATTTTTCACGGTCTGATAGCTGCAGTGGATCTGTACGGAGACATCGTAATTTGTCATCAAAGAGAGAGGTAGAGAGAGAGAGAGAGCTTCAATTAGGCCATCGCGCTCGGAAGATCCGCGCTCGCGATCGAAAATTATTACGCGAATTAGTGACCTATCCGCAGCGCGATAAGAGATGGCAGAGCCGCATTTAATAACGGTTGCGCTAGTCCGCCGTCCGTTCGCCGTCGTAGATTGCGCGCGGCCATTATCGCGGAGCACGCGCATCGTTAAGCAACGAAAAGTGGTTTTCGTCGTCGCGAGATTATTAACGGCCGATTATCATCGCGCGCGACACACTTGCCGATCCGCCGGCCGAGCGGCTCTCCTTCGTCGGAAATTGAGTTGCGAGCGAGGCGACCGGAGCGCCATAATAATCCAGGAGCTAGTTTATCGCGGTAGCATCAGCCTTGCGCTCGAAGAGCGAGAGCGCATGCGTGCATCGGCGTGCAAAGCTGTCCTTGGCTGCGACTGCACCCGCGGAACGCGACCGATTCGGCGAGCGTTCGTCGACGCGCCGACGTTCTCTCGCCGTCGAGCGTAGCGCTAAACTGCCGCGCACACGTACACCCGCTTGCGTGCTCCGTCGCGAGCGACGGCGAGTCCCGGTTGCGAATTTCGCTGCGATCGCGCTCGTCAAATAAGTATTTGCAAGCTATTGTTTGGCGCCGATGAAAGCTCCCCTTGACCTTGGATCCTTGGACCGCGCGCGAACAAGTATCGTATGCGAGTCCGTCTTGGGTGAGAGGATAATGAAATTAGCCGCGGTGGCGGCGCTGCTGCAAATGCGTCGTACGAGCAAATCGGGAATCGAGAGAATAGGCAATTAGAGAAGCAAGGCATGGCAGGAAACTTTGGAAAGCGCCATCGACGACGATCAGTTGCCCAATGCACGTCTGAGCGCAAACACAGCGAAACGTAAGTCTTCCGAATTGCGCTGTCGAGGATACTTGGGATAGCAATAGCCAAGGGACAAGTTCGGTCGCAGACAAGTAGATGAGAGCGGAAACATTGGACGAGCTTTGGAGAAGATGGAGCACACGCCGAGTATCGTCGATGCCCAACGCCAATGTGATGCTGGTGTTCGAGTTTTACAATGGCGGGCGTAGAAACCGGCTATCCGAGTACGTATGCCGGACCTCGTGAAGCTCAAGGTGCTGGATCAGCCCCTCGGGCACACGGAGATTCTGGCTCAGTGGCACACCCATCGAACTTTAAGACCCACTCTTCCGGGCAGCACGTAGATCTGCATCGAGGACATCTCCATAGCCGTGGCGTTCGCCTTCATCGTCGTCGCCAGTGGTCCGCCTCGTTGGCTACTGCGAACGCTTCTTTCGGGAGGCACTCGTCCGCAAAGCTCAGCTCGGATCAGAGCTGCATCGGCACACGGACGATCAAGAGCGACGGGAAAAATCGGAACTGGAATGAAACTTACCAGGGTCTTTGGCTGCCAGAGCTGCCTGGACTGTTCTACCTGTGCACGAAGTCTCGCTAGGCTCCAAATAAGGCCCAAGCTTTTAACCGACGTACTTTTACCGAGTAGCGTAACCTCTTTCGAATTTCATTACATGCGGAGTCGACGATTACAAAGTCTGGTAACTTTTTGGCAGGGAAGCGCCTTGCCATGCGCGACTTTCAACGATGATTTCAGCCTGCAATTCACACATCCGTTTGTATATGGAGAATAAAGCGCAGTAAACTTCTTATTAAAATGGATTTCTTTGTTTTCCGTTTTGTATCTGTTTTCGCAATTGGATTAATATTTACGTTTATAGATAACCGTAAACGATCCACGTTCACTTATAGGCGTTGAATAACGCGAAATGTGAAATAAGGCAGGCACGGCAAAACTGAAATCGAGTCGGAACGCCCTGCGCGGAGAAGGCGATGCCGCGTCAGCGCCTGCACAGCAATGACGAAAGAGAGAGAGAGAGCCCCTTCGCTCCTCGGCGATGCTTTAATGCGTCTCGACGCAGCAGAAATGTTTTTTCGCCGAGTCAACCCTACCAGCGCGGACCCGCAGCGCGGAACTTGCTTTATTCGTTCACTTCTCAACGAGCGCGCGCCAGGCGCCGGGCGCCGGGCAGATAAGCACTAGAGATTCAAGTTCAAGGAGGCAAGCGTGCGACGCGTCGTTCCGCCTTTTTCTTGTTTTTCCTAGCACGCGTTATGTCACCGAGTCTGCAGTCCGATGCGATCGAGCGCGCGCTCGCTAATAATCGTTGCTGCGTATAGGTACGTCTCGTGGAATGCGCGATCGTCGAGTGGAGATAATCGATCGAGCGTCGTCGATTTATTGGACATTTAATGCCGCGGTACGAAGACATCGTACGCGCCTGTGTACGGCGCGCCCCAACATCGCTGTTATCGAACATCTCGAGCACCACCGCTGCTCGACAGACTTTCTTCTAATCTAATTACTTATTGGGTCGCGGCACGGCGACGAGACGCCACGCTATCTGGATCGATGTTTTTTAACATCGCCGTTTGCTACGGGAGTCGGATTCGCCTTGGGACGACTGCATTACGGATGAATTCGACGAGCTGCACTGTAGCTTAATTAGCGATGACAAATCATGGCTTTTACAGGGGGACGATGAAGCAGCGGTGGCCGTGGATCGCAGCCTGTCGGAGCGGGCGAGTAACGAGCCGGAAAGCGGCGATTCCGGATACGCCGAGCCCCTCGAGCTGTCGTCAAGGAGCTTAGGTAAGCTAGCAGTAAGAGTGAGTTTTTTCAATTCATCGAAAGCGGCCGGTGGCAGTTTGCGAAACAGCGTCGTTTCTGCGCGCCTCGAGCGAGTAGCTGTGTCCAAATTTTCCGACGGCAACAGAGAGACAAAGAGAGAGAGAGAGAGAGAGAGAGAGAGAGAGCAACGCGCCATCGTTGATTAGTAGGTTACGCGTGCTTTCTGCGGAGTGATCCAGGGACCCTGACCTCAAATTTTCTATAATCAACCGCGAGTTTTTTGGCTCCGCCGAGCCATCCACGTGCGCAAACTTTCGACGACGAGCTTGCCTATACGACATCTGCATATTGATCGTTTCGTGGACATTGCTCGTGTGCCAGTTCGTCGCTCGGTCGTTTGGCCGCACGACAGTGAATGAAAAAATACAGCGAAGCTGTTTCGGTGATGCGAAATTAGAAAGCCCGTTGGCGACGTTGAGCGACGCTGTGCATCAAAGCTGAGTCTTTACTCGTGCTCGTGGCAAAGACTTGTCAAAAAAAAAAGAAAAAAAAAACCAAGAAAGAAGAAAACGGTAACTAGGAGCACGAGTCCGCAGATTCGTTAAGCCGTGAAACGCGAGGTATCCCGAGTGGCGATCGATCGCAAAGGCACTTGTGCGATCCATCGGCTATTGTTTTGGAAGGGAGAAAAAGGAGGCGAGCGCCCGATAGTCATCGCGCAGACGGCGTCTGCGTTACGTATATAGGCTCGCGCGCGCGGACTGTCGGTGTCATTGTGCTTGACTGGCGCTGCTGCTGGCATTCTCTGTTGGTTCGAGCGCGCCGGCTGCCGTTGCGTAAGCCTCTCCAACGGGACGTTTCCCAATCGAATTTCAGCGAGCCGAGCCGAGCGCGTTGCACCGAAAATAAAAGAAAAAAGGAGACCGCAACGTGCCAAAAGCTAGAGGAGCTTTATTGGATCGAAGAGAGGTCGGCGGAATGTCGAGCGACACGTGTATTTTTGAGGCGACGCGCGCGCGCGCGGGGATCGTTTTCCTAGTGCGTGTCGGAACAGAGCGATCTACTCGCGGAAAGGGAGTGGCTCTCGCGTGCTCTCGTGCATCCGTTTGTTTTCTTCGTCGCTGCGATTTATCGAGAACGCGATTTCAATTACAAGCCAATCCCGAAAGTTGTCGTAGCCGGCGTGGCGCGTCAATGTGCATCGACGTTCTTTTTTTCTCTTCCTCTTTGCTTCATTATCGCCGGAAATAGAACGAGCGAAGCCGAGCGCGCGAGCTCAATTATCCCCCGGGCATTGTTTCGATTCAGCCGTGATTTATTACGGAGCCGCCGGTGCAAGTTCCTTTCTCGCGAAACGCGCGATGGCGAGCTTTGGCAACGCGCGTTCGCTGACTCACCTGTTATATCGCCGACGAAGATTCTACGACTCGGCGAAAAAGCTTCTATTTGCTCGCGCCAACACCACGCTTATCGCCAATGGCTGGCCCCGTTCCCTTCGATTCTTCGCGATTCTCACGTTGGTACGCGAAGTTGACGCGTGGACTATTAATAGTTTAGAGGATCCTTAAACAATTCGATTGACCTCGTGCGCTCGAGTAAAGGATGAAGCTTCGCATGGCAATTATTCGCGCAAGTTTGTCGCCAAGCCAGTGTCTCTAGCGGAAAGACTGGTTTCTAGTCTAGACGCCAGGGGCCTTTCCGGAGAGGAGCAAAGGTGGCCGCCTTCGGTTTCGCGAATGAAGTTTTTCCTCGGCGTCGCCGATGAGCCGAGACCCATCGCCGAGAGACGAACGCGCCGAGTGAACGACAAAATACAATCGAGCGTCGCGTCGCCTCGCCTCGCTTTCTCGCGCCGCGCAATTAGCGGCCGACTTGTCGGCACTGACTCACTCGAGAGGTGGCGCGCGCCGGTTCAGCGCTCTCCGCGATTGTCTCGATGCCGCGAGAGCTTGACTTCGCGCAAGGAGGAAGCTCGCGAGTTCGGCGAGTCCGTCGAAAAGAAAAGAAACCGGTTCGATAATGCCAACCTTGAACGGGTGGCCCCCGGGCGCGTTTCGTTTGATTTTTACATATCACGGCGTGTCGCTGAATATGCGCGCGAGGTAATTGCTGATTCAGGCCAACGCTATTCGACAAGCCGCGAGAGATGCATGACAACAAAAAAAGAAAAAAGAAAAAAAAAACAGAAAACAACAAAAGCTCGGGCGTTTCGCGCGTGCCTGAGTCAGCCGCGCGCAGAAATAAACTCTCCGGCTTTATCAATTTCGTGCGCTCGCATTAGCGACGCCCGACGGGGAATGGCTTTCGGGACGCCAACGTCGAAGCTTATTACTCTGTCGCCCCCCGCCCCTCCCCCGCCACCGGATAAAAATGCGGGTTCACCTCGGCTGCACCGAGCAATATCGCTTTGATCGATCAGATTTTCTCGCGCGCGCCGTGCGACTTGCATGATCATAATCTTTGCTGGCCCACTTATATTTTTCCCAACGACGACGACGGCGAATAAAAGAAAATGCTTTGGAACGACTGTCCCGAGTGCATCGACAGCCAGTGGCTTCTCTCGAAAATCGCGAGCCTCGCGTTTCGATCTCCTTCCGTCAACGCATAAAAGATTAGAAGACGAAAAATAAGCGCACGTGTCCTTCCGAAATCATCGTCTATCTCTGCGACGCTAACCACGCATTTGCGTATTTTTGGCTTTTACGCTTTTTTTCGCGTTTCCGAAGTTAAAGGCTTTCTCTCTCTCTCTCTCTCGCCGAGTCGCCTACTCGGCTTTCTGCATGCGATCACGCCATCGCGAAACCGGTTTTTCTCGCTCTCGGGCCGTCTATGTGTGCGCGCGCGCGCGCGCGCGCGCGCGAGCAAGAGAAGAGGAAGAAAAATACGACGGAGGTGAGGGAGAGGCAATAAAGCTTCAAACGATTATACTGTAGAGCCTCTCCCGCAGTGGAGCACTGTAGCCACGCAGAAACTCGCGCTGCAGCGAAAAAAGTCCGTTGCTGCGGCTTTTTTTCTCTCTCTTTTTTACGGGGTGTCCTTGACGGGCCTCCAAGCTGCGCGCGAGCAGAGGAGCGAGATTTTTGGTCGTTTCGTCGGGGTTCCTGGTGTTCCTGGCGCGCCGATACCAATGCAGAACCTGTTACACTTTGGTCGACAATGGTCATTAGTCCTAGTAATGAGTTTGCTCCTGCGCGGCCTTGATTTCAGATTAGTGAGGTTGAGTTGAGCTTTGGGTCACCGAAATGGTAGCGTTTCGTTGATCACCGCGTCCTCAAAAGTACTCGCAGAAAACTCATTCGGACCAACCCCATTGACGCGTTTCAATAAAAACAAACGTAAACTTGTTTACGCCTTGGTTCGCGATGTAAGAAACGTAATTGCAGCGATCGAAACTTGGATAACGAGAGACCCGGGGATATTATTGCGTAATTCTTAATAAGCAGGTAGCGAAAACATACACGGACACACACACACAGGATATAAATCAGCCGCCGTAGAGCAGCGAGGAAGAGTGCGCACGCGGAGCAGTCGAAAGTAAAACAATAATGGATTTACGTGCGCGACGATACGATAAACCGCTATTCATTTTTAGCGCGCATGCACGAATTGCAATACATCGCTCGCCGTGGAAAAAAGGTTAAAAAAGAAAAAGGAAAGAAAAGCAGAGTTGCTTCTAACGGACACAGCGAAGCCAAGAGCTGCAGTCTTTCGATTCGATGCGCGCGCGCGAGAATCGAAAACGGTACAGCGACTTTCTTGCGAGCCACGATGACTAATCCTGGTAATGATCGTGGCGAGCAGCAGCAAAATGGAAAGTACGTTATTTCCATCGGCTAATTTCTGAGATTAGCGCTTTGCGAAAATTATAAATTGTCGGATAATACACCGTCACGGGACGGACGGGCATGACGTAACGCCAAGCGATGTAAATGCGGCTATTGATTTAGCCGTTTACATCGCTAATCTGCCAACTTACTATTGTCATGGTAATTTCGGCCTCTTATTTATCCACGTTATCACTGCAGGAATGAGTCACCGCGCCACGGCTCGCTATTAATTAACACGTCTTCGTCCTCTTAGCTTTGCGCTATCTCTCGCACCTTGCGATGTTTAACTTTAACTCACGCGTCTCGCTCGTGCCTCGCTTGCGCGCTCGTGGATTTCCGCTCGATCGTCGATTCCCCCCTCGAGCGCCACGGCAACGAATGGAAAACGAGAAATTCATTTAAATCCCGATGAACGAGCAGCGTTCACTCGAGAACATTCGGCTGGCGTAGGATTTTGAAGGAAAACCGGCCACGTAGGTCGATCCTCTCGATTTCACTCGTTAAGCGTTGTCAACGTATTATTAGCTCGCGTCTCCGAGTTGCGGTGCAAACAGTCACATCTACGCACGCACACGCGCAACCAGTCGCGGCACGTTCGCGAAGGTGACATCTTCAATTATTGCGCTGCTCGCGCGGATCGTTTTTTTTTTTCGGCGTCGGCTTCGACTGGCTAGCTAACTCTTCCATTTTAATCAGCGCAGAGCAATATTGACCGCGAAAAGCGACGGATTCCCAAAATAAAAACAGCCGAGCGTGAATCGCCGACAAATCGATGCAGAGAATATTGCTCTCTATCTGTGTTTTCAGCGGCGGCGCCACGAGCCATCGCGAGTATTTCGCCGGAGACTCGATCTCGATAAAGCGACGAGCCGGGAATCCTCTCGACGCGAGTTTTCGTGCATCGCCGCGCAGTTGTCTCGCACTTGACCGTCCTCTTGGTTTTTTTCTCTCTTCGCTCGTCTCGCCGTCCGTGAATTGCGTCGCGTGTCGCGCGCGCGCGCAGTCGACCATTGGCGAGCGCTCGGCCGACGACCGAGAGGGGGATTTAAGAAAAACGAACGTGCAATTCTCATCTTCCACCCGCGGGCTTTGGGAAGTTCGCCGATGCGCGATCCCGCGAGGCACTTTTGTATCTGCGTCTCATCGTCCGCGCGACGTGGCGGTCAGCGCGAATCTCCAGCGGCGATTGTACTT